GAGAGAGAGAGAGAGTTTATATCTTAGAAGTGCCCTTTTTCTACTCCTGAACTATGAGTACTTGTACAATATGACTATAATGACTACAAAAGGGAGAACATAATGAAAGAGAATCCTTTTTTCCATTCTAGAGGGAGAGCGCGACGGTCTATGCGTTTCTTCTGGCAGAAACTCACTTCAATATTTGATTCTTTTGTAGTGTACAACCCTGCCCCCTAATCCCTATTCAAGACCCATGTAAGCTACATTGAAATGCATTTTCTTTGATGTACCTTATGAGGATCTTTTTCTTGGTTTTCTGACAACAATTACGCCCGTTTTTTTTTTTTGTGTTTTCTAATGTTGGAATAATGTGATTTGGTGCTGTAGTATGTGGAAGTGGTGATGCCCATGGACAAGCAGAGGCGGCTAGAGCAGATCCTGCGTTCGCAAGAGCCAGGTTCGAAGGTCATTATCTTCTGCTCAACAAAGAGGATGTGCGATCAACTCGCTCGCTCAATCTCCCGTCAGTTTGGTGCTGCAGCCATACATGGAGACAAGTCTCAGGGGGAGAGAGATTGGGTCCTTAACCAATTTCGCAATGGCAAATCTCCTATCCTTGTGGCCACGGATGTTGCTGCTAGGGGTCTTGATATTAAAGATATCAGGTGAGATAAATGGACATTCTTTTTATTTCTAGGGAAATTATAGCATTTAGTCCGGGTTATTCACTCTCTGATCCCAATGTTGGACCATATGACTGATAGAAATTGAAATGTGGTTTTATATTTATACATTCCTGTAAATATTGTTTGGGGACAAGTGTGTACTTTTGTTACATGATTTAAACGGCTTAGGTATGTGATTCATTTATTTTGTATTTCGTCTTGGTTTTGAGAATTTGAAACTGAAATAAGGAGAGGTGTTAGAAAATGGGAAACAAGAACGTGATTGATGATGTGAGGTTTTATCTGATTTTGACTGTTCTTATCTGCTGAAAGGACCAAAACTAATGATGACATACAAGGTTTTAAAAGATGTGGTTTCAACAATTACAACTGTTGTTGTGAAGCGGGATTTGCTGTTTCAGCTAATACTTCTGTAGATAAGGACCTACACTTGCAGGAGAAGGGATTTCCAAAACAGAAATTATAGCCATTTCTTTGAAGTATAGATTGTTCTAGCATGGAGTCTACTGTATATTGATTCAATTTTGTAAATGAAAATGATAGTATTTGTAAGTCATGATACTATCATTCAATTTTGACAAAAATGATAGTATTTGTAAGTCTGTTACAACAGTCACCTGGATAGTAACCCTTGGTTGTCATAATGGCATAACCCTGTTTTTAATGCCTTGGTTTTATCTCTATTTTTAAGCCATGTTAATGTTCTAAAACCCTAGAATTAGGTCTGGATTTTGTCTTAACTCTATTGGACACTTGGATTTTTAAGGTCAAATAGTGTAAATTTGAAAAATTCCATAGTTTAGGATGGTTAGGGTCTAACCTGGCCAAATATGAGAGAGATATCGAGTTTTGAAATAAGAGAATGAATTGCTTCTCACTATTACTGTTTGTGCAGGGTGGTGATCAACTATGACTTCCCTACAGGCGTCGAGGACTACGTGCACCGTATTGGTCGCACAGGCCGTGCAGGAGCCACAGGTATTTCATACACCTTCTTCTCTGACCAGGATGCCAAGTACGCGTCTGACCTCATCAAGGTCCTTGAGGGTGCCGGCCAGCGTGTCCCTCCTGACATCCGCAACATGGCTTCCCGTGCTTCTTCCCACCTCGGCAAGCGCAACCGGTGGTCTGACAATTCTCGTGGTGGAGGTGGACCTGGCAACAGGGGTGGAGGCGGACGTAGTGATCATCGTGGTGGAAGTGGAGGGCGGGGCCCACCAGCTTGGTCAGACAGGTCACATAACGAGGGAGGTAGCAGTCGGGGTCGACATGAATGGGGCCAAGGCCGAAGTAGGAGCCGCAGCCGTAGCAGAAGCCCAGGCAGGTCCCGCAGTGCGTGGGGTGGCGGTAGCAGTGGTTATAACAATAGTAGTAAGTCGAGGAGTAGGAGTAGGAGTAGGAGTAGGAGTCGGAGCAGGAGCCATGAGAGGGGGGGTTTTGGTGGTGGCAATAGGTATGGAGGTGGTGTTGGGGGGGACATCAGGGAAAGGTCATCTCCGCCTTCAAGGAAAGATGGCACTCCTCTCTTTGTTAGAAGGGATATGGAAAGGGCACAGTCACCTCCAAATGGGGATGGATTAGGGGCGACAAGGAAGGATGGTTTAGGGTCTTCACCGGCATGTGATGATGATGTTGGACAGGTGAGGGGGGGTGATGGGTGGCAGGATTCACCTCCTTATGCGGAGGGTTCTTTCCATGGTGGGGATGCAGTGGATGATGATTTGCCAGAGGTGGTGCCTGTGGTTCCAGGACTGGAGTCGGAGGCAGTTGCCTGAGCTCTTCCGAGCTTCAGATTCTCATCTGATTAGCTTGATTTTGCATAGAGTCCTTATCTGATATAGTTTCTTAACTCTCTGGCTTGCTTCTTTTCATTGAATTCTGATCTTGCTTGGCTGGAATCTGACCCAGCTAAATGATTTTGGATCTCAAAACCCTTTTTTTTTCGTTTTGGGATGAAGTTGTAATTTTTGATATTTCCTGAGCTTTGGAGTTCTCGAAGTTTGGGGGAAGGAATGGGGTGGACAGATGGTTTATGTCTTTATAACACATATATGTAATTGGTAGAAGAATTACTGTTCCTCTCATATTTGTCATTGCCTTACATAAAGACTCGGGTGAACCGGCCTGTCTTGGATCCTTGGAAATCTTTTTTCTTATGATATTTTCCTTTGGGAATCATATATTTCTAGTTTTTGGACTAAATTTTGAGGCTAAAAGGAATTATTTCTCTATTTAAGCCACAAAAAAGAAAAGAAATATGTATCCCGTCCGTTACACCCAATTTTCTCATCAGTGGGGAAATGTAAATTCAGTTGTCCTAATTTGCAGGTTGGCCTGATGTGGGAAGATGTAGGAACAAAATAAGCCCCTCTCTATCCTTGGCGCATCTCTCTCCCCTATTGGTGATCCATTCTCACTTGCCCACGAATCTCTGCAAACCCTAGATCTAAACTACTTCCTCTATGAAACCTTGGGTATTCATTTGGGGAAGACCCAAGCTTTGCATATCTGTCATTAAACTATGTCCTCCTATGAACCCCTGCATAATAGTTGTGAAGGTATTCATTGGGGAAAGACCAGGCTTTGCATTTGTGTCATTAAGCATCGGCAGGCTTCACCTGATGGGCCTTGCATGAACCTTAAATAGATGATTCAGGAAAGAAGCTTGGATGTTTGAAGCCGAAGATTTGCAGAGTGATCTTTCTGGTGACTTGAGTATGCTGAGAAGGTCTTCAGTTGTGAAGTCGTGGGATTTGGTGAATTGAAGAGAGAGAGAGAGAGAGAGAGAGAGAGAGGGTAGGGGTTAGGGAGTGGTGTGGTAGAGTACGAACCGAGTACTCGTAGAGTAGTAGGAGAGAGAGAGGACGGACGGACGAACCAAACGAAGAACGAGGTAGGTACGT